AAATAGGTTGGTCCAAAATGAAGGTTGACAAAGGCTAGTTTAGGCTAAAAGTTGAGTTGGCCTAGGATGGATTTTGGGTTAGTAGGTCTATGTCAAACGTCACAAGAGTCGGCCTAGGCCAAATTTTGATCGAGCAAAGCCTAGCTGAAATTTTGCCAAATTCGACCTAGTTGGTCGTGACCAAAATTCATCAAAGTTGACCTAGGTTGAAATTCGAACGAGTCACCCTATGCAAAAATTCAGCCTAGTCAACATTTATCTTAATTGATCAAATTTCGAGCGAGTTAGCCCTTGGTGAAAATTCGGCCAACTCGGTCCCAACCGAGTTTGACCGAGTGAACCTCGACCAAAATCAGCGGAGTCAACCTCATCCCAATTTTAGCCTCAGCCTTAGTCGAAGTTCAAGACAGGTGGGACAGGGTTGAAGGTTGAGACAATTGGCCCAAGCTGAAGGTCGACACTAGTGTGACCTGGGTCGAAAGACGAGACTGATTAACCTAACTCAGGACGAAGGTCAACTAGGGGGAACCCAAGCCGAAGGTTAAGACGATTGGCCCGAGCCAAACGTCAAGACTGATGCGAACTAGACTGAAATTTGAAACTGGTCGACCTTACTCAAGGCGAAAGTGAACTAGGATCAATCCGAATCGAAGTTTAAGACGAGTTGAGCTGGACTAATGGTTGAAATGGATCAACCTGAAATAAAGGTCTATCTTGAACAACCTCAAAGTCAAAACCTGATTATTTAGATTGAAAGTCGAGATTAACTATCATAAATCATATGTCTAATTATATATTTTAAAAAATTATATTTTTTCATGTTTAAAAAAGTCCATGGCTTAACACATAATATTTTATGGACATTTTAACTATATGAACTTTTAATGAGAGTTCTTTTATTTTGTGGACTTTTTTAATTCTACTAAATGTAAATCCAGAAAAACCCTTAATAGCGACTAAATTAACCATTCTAATATCGACTACTAATTTTAGATATCATTATATTATTTTAAGGATGATTTAATAGTTCAATATTAAATATTTTTATGTATGAGATACTTTACTAAATATCAACTCTAACTGTGACTAAAAGGCAAACCAGAAGAGAAATATATATATATATATGTAAATATACAAAGTAAATTTATAAAGAAATTATGCTTTATTTAAATACATTAAATCTTTAAAATTCTTGTAAATTTATAAATTCCTTTTTAAATCTTATAAATTTATGTTTTAAAAATCTTCAAAAGTTAAATTATAAAATCTTAATCATATAAATCTTTTAAAAAATCATTGTAATTTTACAAAAACTTATGTAATTGTTTGGTTTAATCATTCACGAAGTCCCTATTTTCGGGTGGAATCTCAATTTAGTCACGTTGTTTATGAAAATCTCAATTGGGTCCCAAATTTATGAAAATTGCAACAATTGGATCCTTTCTGTTAAATTGTCTCCAACGACGTTAGTGCGTGTTTGACGTGGCACGCTATAGTCAGTTTCTTAATTGACGTGGCTGACTGAAGTAGGGTAGCTCGTGGATATTATTATTCCAACCTTTTTCTACTACAACCTATTACCCTACCCTTCTAAAACCAAAATTACTTTATCTTACACATGGGGTCCACCCAATAATAAATAATCATTTCCTATTTCTCTTCTCAACAAAGAATTTTAGCATTCTAATACACTTACAACAATGCACCTCTCTCAAACTCTACTTCTATATAATTAAATTTCTTTTTCTCTCCGAAAGCCAAACCTATTCCCAGTACTTCTCTCACGTCTTGCTCCATTTAAACACATACCCCTCCACACATCAATCCAATTTTGTTTTCTTCCCTAGGCAGACTGAACTGATCAATGTTATTTGAACCTGCAGAATCAGGCTTGATCAAGGAAGATGGTTGTTTCCCACTTGGGGTAGCCTCTGCCCCACGGTCTCTGTCAGACACTTCAGCCTCTCCATTCTCCTGCCGTGCCTTGGCAGCAGCCAGTGCTGATGCTTGAACCAGATACTCCACACCTTTAGCAATTCGCCTGTTCAAAGTCCTTTAGATAAATGAAGCCAAACAAGTAACATTAAATACTTTGCCCAATAAAATGAAAACAACTATTGTACTGAGGTCCCTGAAGCATGGCATTTTCAGTATTGATATCTGTATAAATGTCACCATTCATTGGGGGTGCAACAGGATTTCCCAAAACAACAGAACCATCAGCAACTGCCTCAGGAACTGCTTGCCTCGCCTGTTTTCAAAACCCCCCTTCAACGGCTACTCCGTAAAGTTCAGCCCCTTCTATGAGAACCGCCTCGTCGTTGCCACCGCCCAGAACTTTGGTATCCTTGGCAACGGCCGCCTCCACGTCCTCATCCTCTCCCCGGACCCCTACCTCCCCATCGCGGAGCTTGCCTCTTACGACACCGCCGATGGTGTCTACGACGTAGCCTGGTCGAAATCACATGACTCCATCGTCATCGCCGTCGTGGGCGATGACTCTGTGAAGCTCTACGACCTGGCCCTACCCCCACTTCCAACCCGATCTGCTCCTTTCCGGAACACACCCGCGAGGTCCACTCCGCCGACTACAACCCCGTCCGCCGCGACTCTTTCCTCTCCTCCTCCTGGGATGACATCGTCAAGCTCTGGACCCTCGACTGCCCCACCAGCGTCCGCACCTTCAAGGAGCATGCCTATTGCGTCTACTCCGTTGTCTAGAACCCCCGTCTACAAATGTCAGGAACTATAGGGTTCCGGTGAGTGTGCTTAATGGGCACGGATATGCCGTGAGGAAGGTGACGGTGTGCACATCATTACTCCACGTCAATTAAAAAACTCGTGTCACGTCAGTTAAGAAACTGACTACATGCCACGTCAGTTAAGAAACTGACTACATGCCACGTCAAACACACACTAACGTCATTGGAGACAATTTAACGGAAAGGATCCAATTGTTGCAATTTTCATAAATTTGGGACCCAATTGAGATTTTCACAAACAACGGGACTAAATTGAGATTTCACGCAAAAATAAGGACTTTGTGAATGATTAAACCTAATTGTTTTTATGTTAAGAACATTAAATTTCAATTGAATACACTTCCTGATCCATAGTTTATATGCTTATTGGTTTCCCACCAACAAAAATTCATTAAAAATAATCTAAATGGATAGATTATTAGTCTAAAAGTATTTAAAAATAAACAATAAAGCGTTTGGTGGAGTTAATTACCTTAAAGAAAGAAGGTCCCATAGCTGATAGAAACCGATAGGTAGGTAGAGACAATGTTTATCATTATTCGATTCACAACAAAAATATTCATCCGTTGTATGTTATCAAACAAATATCTAATTAAAAAATGTCTTGAGTATTTTAAAATTCACTCTTATCCTCGATACTCATAGATATTTTAAAAAATATATTTTATAAAATTTTAAAATAAAACTACAAAAAAAAATATAATATAAATTAAAATTTGATTTTAATTAAATTTAATAAATTAATAAAATACAAGTTAAAATTTTATTTTAATTTTTTGTGAGTAATATATATCCGTAAATACAAATAGTATAATATTCGCACCGACCCGTTTATGATAATGAAATATTCGTTACCCGTCAACTTTACCTTCAAACACAATTATTTTTGTCGTCATTATCGATGGATTATATTATTCCTATTCTTTTATTTATGAAAGAATTAAAAAGTAACTCTTCGTTTGAACATATTTATAAAATTGTAATAAATAGTATGAATGTTTATTGTTTAAATAATAATGATAGTAATAATTAGTCTTTAAATAGTTATTAAAAGATGACCGTTAAAATAATCACAACTGATTAAGAATAAATAATATTTGTCTTCAAACTTTTCCATAATTTAATGAAAATTAAATGTATATTAAACTTTAACATAAATTCTGTTGAGTTTTACATAATTATTCCTCGACAACACCTCAGTAAATATTAGAACACCATTGAAATATTTTTTCATTATTAAAAAATCAATACACATCTATATATGAATAAAAAATCAATTTAATTATAAAATGATAAATAAGGAGAGGTTGAATCAATATTTTTAATTGAAAGATATATGGTACTAATAATACTGCATGTTTCATTTAACTATATTGATAATTATATATGGGTAAATAATAAATTATTAGGAATTTCACTTTTAAAGGAAGGGGATTATCATTCAAAAATTTAGTTGTATAAGAAAATTGACTAGTATTCCAAATTCGAGTAATATCCACAAATTTTACCTTTTTTTATATGTTAAAAAACACTTCTCTGTATAAGATTAATACCTTAATGCTAACATTGTAAATTGATTTTATTATATAATTTTATTGAGTGTCAAATTGAGTAGATAAATATCTATTGTAGATTTTGAAAAACCTATTTGAATACAATATTTATGTTTTCCTTGTTGTTTTTCTCTTATTACCATATGTTGAATATTCTTAAACTATTTTATATTTTGAAAAATGCATTGAATAGATCTTGTGATTTTTTAATTGTTATGTCATATTAAACAATATTTTTTTGTGTTAAAAAATAACACTTATAATTTATAATAATAATAAAGTTACTTAATATATCAGAAATAAAAAAGTTAAAAAGCTACATTTATACAAACTCAATAATACATTTATAGAAATGAAAGAAAAAATTGTGAAAAAGATGATGCAAGACTGTACATTGTTTAAATATAAATTTAGTAGAAAAATATATATATAATATTTTTTGTTCAACATAGTGATAATATTTGTATAGAATAATAAGAATAAAATGATATTAAAAATCTTAATAACGTAAGAATATTTAAATTGAATGGATATATTTCTACACTATAAATCTATAAAAATAAAATTGAAGTACTGAAATTTACTGAGGTGGTGAAAAGGTTGTTGGGCCCGGTTATGAGAAACAGGCCCACGTATGTTCGCGCTCAATGGATGCTGACGATGATATCTGGTATATGAGATATATATCAATTATGCTAGAAAGTTCTGTTTTCATGAAAGAATTACGAATCATCCTGCATAAATTGGGAAAGCAGTTCTAGGTTTCAAGTAATTGGGTTGGTCTTTCACCACTCTTTTTCGATTTCGCCATCTCTACTCGCCCATTGTCTTTCTGGTACACCTCCCTGTCAAATCTCCCCTTTTCATTTTACGGATTTTGAATTTTATTTATGTTAATCTGGTTTCGCCTTATGCTTCAGAGTTTTTCATTCCTAGTTAATGTTGGATTTGTTTCATCTTTCTTCCTGTTTAAATCAACTAGTTAACATGATTTTTCGTTCATTGGTTCTGTAATTGAAATTCGATATATGCAAATAAGCCTTTTGGCCTTCTTTTTCTGGGCCTTTCTAGGGATTATCAGGAAGTTGCTAGGGTTTAAAGCATGTGTTTACATTTGAAAACAATGATTAATATTGTTATATTCTCTTATAGGTTCATTTGCAGCAAGAATTTAATAACAATATATAATCATTAATTATACTTCATAAGGGTGATTTATAATGAAAAGATTTTTCTGAAATAGCTTGTATTAAATCCTTGATTAATATTTGAATGGTTTATTGCGTTTTAATTACCCTGGTTGCAACCTGTATTTTCAGTGAATACTGCACATAGACAGAATGCAAGGACGCGGAGGTGGCAGGGATCCTTTCTCCAATTTTGGTGACCCTTTTGGTGGGTTTGGAGGGTTTGGTTCCTTTGGACCTCCCAGGAGTTTAATGTCAAGCTTTTTTGGGGGTAGGGACCCGTTTGACGATCCTTTCTTCACCCAGCCTTTTGGAGGGCTGTTTGAATCTAGTTCCTTTGGTAGTTCTACTGGATTTCCTTTTCCACCGGGTATGCATCCATCTGGGTTTCTTCAGCATCAAGTTCCAGGGATGCAACCATCCGGGTTTATTCAACATCAATTCCCGCGGGTGCATCCGTCTGGGTTCCTTGACCATCAAGCTCCAGAGCCTAGTAGACAAAGGGGACCAATCATTCAGGAATTGGACTCTGATGATGAAAACGAGGACACAACAGAAGAGAGGAAAGAAAATCCAAGAAAGCATAGTAGGTCAAATGATGAACCTTCAGTTGAACATCCAGATGATGAAACTGAAGGTAATGCATGTCTTCTCCTTCAGCAGTAGGGGATTTTGCTCTATCTCTAACAAGGGTCAGCTTGGATTTGCTTACTCTGATTATTATAATTCATGTTGCAGGGAAGAAGAGCAGACATTTGTACTCTGGAAATGAGTACAATAGAGTCATTACAACTGGGCCTCAGCCTCAATCTCAAAGCTTCTACTTCCAGAGCTCAACAGTTAGCTATGGTGGTGCAAATGGAACGTATTATACCTCCTCAAGGACAAGAAGGAGTGGGAGTGATGGAGTAAGCATTTGAATTGTTGATTAAAAGCTATAGTGAAAGATTTGCAGAATGTTGTTTTTCTGATGCCATTTTTTCTGTGTTAGGTGACCTTTGAAGAGAGCAAGGAGGCTGATAGTTCAAAAAGAGAAGCTTCTCACTTAATTTCTAGAGGCATTCATGGCAAGGTATACTCATGCATCTCTTTGGTTGCTATGGTAGATTCATTTGTTTTGGTTTTGGAATAACTTTTTGCTGTTAACTTTTAATTCTTTAACTTATAACAGGTCTCTTAATCATGTGGTTTTACTTATATGTGATGTTTTGTAGGGTCATTCCCTCTCCAAGAAACTGCATTCTGATGGTAGGGTGGATACTATGCAGACTTTGCACAATATAAATGAAGGTAGGTCATGTATATGATATTCGTGAAAGTATGGTGTGATATCATATGACCATAGTAGTCAATGGTTCGTTATAGTGCTGCTATTGTATTGTTGCCTACGGTTGCAGCAATGGCCCCTTTGATGGAAGGCTGGTTTGTTGCAACTTTATATAGCAGTGACTATTTAATGCAACCATCTGTCCCGTAGCTCTCTTCTGAGTTTCCAGCTAACCCACATTCTTTGGGACTCTTTCTGTGGTCTTTACTCTGATAACATCTTGGGGTTCTGTTCACCTTAAAAAGGGACTTATGTTTTGTTTTTCACATTTGTGCGTATGATATGTTATATGTCTATGTTTTGTTTTCTCCTTTTTTCACTGTTGTGTTCAGTTCAGATAGGTAAACCTTACATTGACCTTTGTCTCTGTACTTTTTTTTTCCTTTTATTTTACTTGCATGACCCTTCTTGTTTTTGACTCCTGTGTTTGGCTAGAATTATGACTTTAGCTGTTAATATGCAATTAATTATGGCTATTTTTGTAGCATTTATATACTTGTGATGGAAATTATTTGTTATGTATAGAAATTTGGTAGTTGTGATCATCCTGCTATTCACTATCGAGATATGATGGTTTTGAACCACTATTTGGGATATATGAGATTACTTTCACACTTTCATATTCTTGAATGTCTGCATTCCTGAAAGGTTTTTGAGTTGTGATATTGTAGAGGAACTTACTGGCTTTGAAGAAGAATGGAAAAAGAAGGGTCAAAACTATATGCCTGGATGGACTGGGAGTATTGGTGAGTAATTATCTCTATTTACTGGAAGATATCTCTACCATTTACAATAGGATATTTACAGTTATATATTTATTATGATATTTACTGTTATATGTTTACATATATGTTTCCATAGTTTCCTTAACTATATTCTTTTAACAAATATCTGCTAAATTTTGTAATTTACTCATTGGATTATAACTATTAATGTACTTGAATAACTAGAATTGAACAAAATAAAGTAATTTACTGTATTATCAATAGTGTGCTATGGTGGTAGAGTGGCTAGGGCTGCTGTTTGCACAGTATAATAGCACACGGTTTAGTGTCATGGCTGTAAGCGCCTGTTACGCACTTGTGTGCAATTTGGCTTGCACCAGTGAAGTATTCCTAAACTTTTTAAATGCTCTTAAACCTTAAGTTTTGAGTTTTAACAGTGCACAAGTTTTTTTATTTTTTGGAGCAATGTCTTCGTGAAATGCTCTGCGTCCTGAGTGCGACCCCCCACTTCTGACACCTGCATTTTACCCCTGTTCTTTTGGTTTCTAGTGTTCTCTTTTGTTAATTGTTATTCTCTTTTCTCTTTGAAGAAAACAGGTGCGTATTTATTTAGTTACTTACTATGCGTAAATAATTCAGAATAGTGGTCATCCTATGACGAGCTATCCCACTATATTGTTTTTGCATCTATCAAGCTCGGTACAAAAATGATGGGCATCATTATTGTTTTTTTTTTCCACAGAAATCAGTTTTAATGAATGAAATGCATTTTTACTATTTTTCAAAGCTGCTAGGTTTTCCTTAAAAAAAAACTACTAGACCAGCTTATTCACGGGCACTTTCGTAGCACCACTATGTTTGTATTTCCATTCTCGAGCTCTTTTTCTGATATCTTCCTTTCATTATTCCTTCAACTCCCACATTCGCTCACACTATGAAATAATTCTTCCAGTACGTTTCGGGTATTCTTCTTTATGTTCATATACTTTTGGTTATGTATTACATTTGCAAACTTCCAGTATGTTGAAAGTATATTTTTCACTTTAAAAGGAGCTACGGTTGAATTGTTGTTTGTCCTTTTAAATTTGTGCTCTTGGGTGTTTCAGAAGCTAGCGGTAGTAATGGACAGGCTGAGCAGGCGAGGCGGGGAGGTTGGGCACTTCCGTCATCGGAGCATAGCCATCAGGTGACAGGAATATCTGAATCAAATGAAGTTGGTTCTTCTGGCGAATACAGGAGAGCAAGGGCACATTCAAACGGTGGCAGTCCATACAACCGTCCAGGAGTAGGGCGTGGCCGAAATTAAGGCTTTAATGTTGCTAAAATACTTAGAATCAATTAGCGATGTACACAGCGTCCTCATGTTAGTTAGTACTGTTACTCTTATGCGTTTCTTCTTCCCTTTCCCTACAGGTATATCACCTTACTACTGTTACTGTTAATATGTTTCTTCTTCCCTTTCCCAATATTCAATAGGATGGTTTGTCTATTGCAATTGTTATGGTGATGATAGGGGTTTAAGACCGACATTATGCCCTTAATACATCAAATTAATAGCGTCCTCTATCGCCATGCATGAGTTGTTTACTTTTTTTATGTTTTCTGGTTTGCGTGAGATGTTTTCGTGCCAAGAACGTGTGCCTGATGTTTTCTTACTACATGTCCAGAATCGACTAATTCTACTTTAATTAATTCTTGTTATGTGATTTTGGAGAACTGCGATTGGGTAGGATTATACAAATCAATCTACTAATTAAAAATGAAAATTATTCAATTGGATCATTCTTGTTAGATAGATGATGAGTCTTCCAATGTAGTTTTGTAACTTTTTTAGACCAATGAAATTACTATTAGGCCAATACATGTATGTACATAAAATATTAAAATTTTAATTTCTTAAAATTGTATGATTTAAGATTCTTAAAAAAGTAAAAAAATAAATAAATTTGTCTATCATATAGATTACCTGGTTGTTAAAAAATAATATCATGTTAATTAATGTGAAGCTAACACGATAGAATTACAAATGTTAATTAAAAGCGCTAATATGGTGGAGTACCATTTTTACATGCATAACTTTGAGACTCGTCTTTTTAAATTCTTATGAATTTTTAATATTTTGTTAATTGCGGTAAAATAAAAATTAAAAATAATTCTTACGTCAATGACATATGTGAAAATAATCTAAGAAAAGAAATATTATTTGTGTTCTTTTTAAATATTGTTTTATTAAATGTTTGAAGGAAGTTTATTTTGATATTTTTCTATAATGCTAAGGTTTATATATATTATACATGAATTTAATTTTAAACAAATTAAAATGATAAACTAATTAACTTAACATATTTTACAAACATAAAATATTAGATCGAATTTCTGAAGATAAATGATCACATTAAACATAAAAAAAAAAGATAGAATTCATTAGAAAATTCAATTGATTTATTCTCGTTACATAATATAAATGTAATAGATTTAGTCTCTAGCTTTTTGAGTTTCATTAGAAAATAATGTTGAAATTCCTAAAAGTTTATTCGTCAAAATAGAAATCCATACGAAGATATTGCAAAATTTATCATTCCGAATCGGTAGATTACTTGGACAATTTGGAGTATTTAAACGATAGAATAATATTGACTTCTATATTAGAAATAATAAGTTCAATTAATGAGTGTATCATGTAATTGTTCTTAGGTGAGGAAAAGATATACATCATGAACTGATTGAATATGGAAAGGTGATAAGATATTGATATTCAACCTGGTTGGACAATTTTATGTAAATTCTGCTACAATTTTAGATAAGTTGTTTTTTTTTTATATTATTTATAGTACAAATTTTAAAATAGTCTAAACCCATTAGAGGAACACACCTATACCTAAAGGAAGTATAATATTACAAATCAGTAACAAATGTTTAGTTATTAAGGTTGACAAAAAATAATGATATTATTGGCAAAAGAACTTAAAATATGATAATGGCTAACTTGTTTCCATAATAAAAATCTATGATATTACACATGATTAAGTTGGAAATCTGCTCACCTCTTCTCGAAATAAACTCTAAATGAAGATCCATATGAATATAACTCCAAGCAAGATAAAGAAAAGTTAAAAATAGTTTTTGAAAAATTGAACATTGTGTTCATTATGTTTAAGGATATTTAATTTTATATTTTGTTGCTTTAATTTGTGAGCTTTATGTTATCTTCAATTGGTCTATGTCTTACGTTAACATCTATTTTATAATACATTGGTTTAAGGCATGCTTTCAAGCTGCTCACCCAAATTTTCCAAAGTTTGGTGTTTCATTTGACTGAAATCGAACAACACTTTTATTTCTTCATATATTTTTTAAATTTTTTTATGAATCTATTCTCATACTTACGATCTTAAAAAAAAAACTTTATTTGAAACAACACTAAGTTCCAACTTTCATATTCCTCTAATGATTTTTTTCCCAAAACAAAGTTTATCATTGTTTTGTATTAATGAAATGTATGTTATCATTACGACTAATAAATTATTATGTTTCTACCATTTGAAAAAATTAATTACTATGTTAACTATCATTTGATCCTTAAAAAAATAAAAATTTTGCATCATTCAAATAGTTTGTACATTTGTATTATGAAAAGTCAGAAGCATGAACTTAACAATGTGAACATGTACTATGTAAGTAATATGTTTTATTTATTTTTCTTACCAAACTTTTATAATTGATTTGTTATGTTCTAATAAAATGCAACTTAAAAATAATCGATGAATTATGAGCATGAAGGTATTGAACTATGGATTATGATGTTTTGGTGATTATCTCTTTCATTTTTAAGATTATTTCTTCAAGTTATATATGAGTTAGAAATAATCATGTATGAGTTAGAAAAATCTAACTTTATAAAAAGAAAAATCTAATAGGGAAAAAGTACTTCTCGTTACCCGTATTGACTATAACAAAACTTTAAATAAATTGTGTTTCGAATATGATTTCTCTAAATACATGTCAATCAATACACATTTGTAACTATCTCTACTATTAAATAGTATAGATTTTTCTCAAGATATTAATTTAATGTGTTTTGATGTTATACAAATATTTTTCATACTAAAAAAAATATTAAAGTTGGTGTACAAGATACAAATAATTAATTGGTTGAACTAGATGATTAATCATTTAGTCAACGTAATTCAACTTAATGAAATCAAAATAGTTGATCACTTTGATTCACACTATATTGTTAAATATTGATGAATTAACATAGTTTACTACTTCTACATTTAGTTATTTCATATTTAGATCTTTTAATTTATTAAACTGGAATAACAATAATAGTAATAATAATGATGATAATTTTTGTAAGAATAACAACAATAATGTTGAAATGTTGTTATTTAATTAATCAAACATATTAGTTTTCCGTTTTGCTTTTTCAAATAGTTTAAAGTCTTGCCTTTTTAAATAAATAAGTTAAGAAATATATTAGACCATTTTGATTGAGAAGAAACAATTATGAAATATTTGTTGGCTTTGAACGGATATCACCGTATTATATTACTTTAAACAGTCCTAACCCTTTTGTATCAAGTATAATTGAAGAGGAAGGAAATGCACCAATGAATGTCATTTGGATAAATTGGTGAGTAAGGAAAGTGTAAAAAAAAAGAAGATAAATTATAAATTAAACAAACATTCACTAAATTATATAATTGTGTAATGATTATTCATTATATATATATATATATATATATATGTGTGTGTGTGTGTGTGTGTGTAATAATAATAATAATAAAGTAGGAATAATTTAACTTTTAGTATTCCGTGAAATAATTTGTTGTTGTAAAATATAATTTTTTTCTTAATATTTTACAATGAATTTTCTTTATTTTAATTATAATTTATATTTCTACATTAAATTATTTTATAAAGTTATGAACATTAACATATATAAATTATTACCATTTTTTTTTCTTTTCTTTCCTTTCTTTACTCCATTATTTTCATTCCTTAATCTAAATAAAACAATATATCTCCAATAGATGCATCTTAGTGAAATATCTGAAACTTAAAATTAGAATATATCGAATAAATTGTTTAACGCTTAAAAAGAATCTATTATTGGAGAGATTTTACATAACACATCCAATTTCGTCGACCTAACAAAAGTTTAATATATAAGAAACAATTTTCTTAAGAGCAAGATTAAACAAATTCTTAAAAAACGATTTAAAACATGACTAAGTAAAAGCTAAAAATATGAATTTATTCAGATATGTAAATATATAGAAAATAGTTTAGAAGTAATAGAAATTTTAATGATAACATTCAATTATTTTATTAATAAAATATCAAATTATAAATAGAATTTATGATAATTAATTTTCATTTTATAAAATTACTATCTTTCTAAGTACTTTTTTTAAAACTATTATTTATCTTCTATACTCATTGTCTCATTCTTGATCTATTTGAAGATTTTAAAATTTAAGAGTAATCATTGTTTAGAACTTTACAAATCCAATAAATTGGAATTAAGAAAAAAGTAAGTTCATTTTTTTTTTTAAGTTTATCACTGTTTTTAGTTGCATGTGTTGTCTAATGCACGTGACTCAAAATAGCTCAAAATGAATATCTGATTATTTATGGTCACAGGAATGCGTTTAGATTTCTAATCACGATTTTATTTGCATAATTTAAGTATATTATGAGAACTATAATTTTGTGAGGAGAATTAAGTAGGTGTTTTTTTTATGCGGTAAGAGAAGCTAATAATGTTATATGTATGATATTGTTTATGTGATATAATATTAATGATTGAACCTGAGTAAATATATCTTTGGTTGATTAGTAATGTAGTTTGGTCTTAAAGATTGAAATTTGTGTTAACAATTTGTGAATGATGTAAGACCCATGAAAAATATTTATAATAGTAAATTTTAGCATTATTAGTAATAATAATTTTAATGGATAGAAAAATGTAAATTTTGGATATAAAATTATAGTAACTCTAGAAGGAGAGGTTCAAATTTTTGATAACTTATTTAGGATTTTTAAGAAAATTGAATAGTAAAAAGTAAATAGTGAATAGTGAATAGTGAATAGTGAAAAAAAAAAGAATTCCTTAGCATGGAAGGAATTAGGATAAGAATTCCTTAGCATGGGAGGAATTAGGATCAGATTTGATCAAGTGGATGATTAAAATATTATTTTTAAATAATATTAAAATAATAAATAATATTAAAAAATTAATTAATAGTAGATTTTTTTTACCTATAAATAGCCATGGGAGGGAAGGGTATTCTGCACCAAGAGAAGAGGAATCAAGTGAGAGCTTGAGAAATAGAGAAGAAAGAGTTAGGGAGAAATTTTTAGTTGCAAGAAGAGTAGATGTTTTGAAGGGTTTCAGGGAAATAAATTCAGAGCAAGAGGAGTCTGGAATAGAGGTAGGGGAGCTAACCTTTCTAT